CACCAGTTTTCTTTTCTCTTAGAATAATCATTTTAGTATAGACATTCATTTTATGTTATGACAAAAAGTACATGACTCAGTGATATGTTATTTATGTTTTCATTTACGCCGACTTCTACTAAACAAGTCCGTTTTTACTTTTCCATCATTCTTAAAAGCATTTTTTGCCAATTTCACGATTTAATTATCAATGGTATGCTACAAATAATGTTTTAGAGATGCAACAAATTTCCCCACAGAATTCCTGGACTAGAGCTATTCGTTTTCTTTGCATCAGAAATATCTTTGCTTTTGTAATGTCAGGCCGTCGTGAGATGTAATCTAAGGGTTCCTGTCATCCTATCAAGCACCATTGACAGGTTGGTCGATTCGGATAACTACAGACAGATATTCCTGATAAAGAATTGTGTTCAAACCAAAAAGTTTGCAAGCTGTAGTTCAAGTGAACGAAAAGTAGCAGCCTCGAATTTCATCAGTAACATATCCCAAAATTTGAGATTTCATCAGAACCTGTTTTTAATCAAATCTTTATTCGTTCATTTTTTCTTTGCTTTTTAGGTCATTGGTTAAAAATTATTTTAGAGCATTTTATGATTAATTTTATAGCGATGTTTTCAGATCATAAAAATCCGCCTCCTAACTTATGACCACTTTGGCAGTTAAATTCCTTCCAATGTGACACTAGTTGATGTAACAATGTTGAGGTTTTACCTTTCCTCCTTCACTGACTCAGACCACTTCTGATGCTGCTCTGACGATTAGCAAACAATCATCGACGTGCAAGCTTTTCAGTTGGAGTTGAGGTTTGGAGTATGACCGCAACCAAGTGAAAGTGGTTCTTTCGTAACGGTCACAAAAAGAAAGAAGCCCACGAAAACGTATTGGCAGAGATAGTAGTCCCGACACAAGTGAAATCCTGCGAAACCACTTTTTAGGGTTGGTTACAAACAAGCGGTGCAGATAAGCTGCGTCCTGACTAATCTACAGATTCAGATGCTACAAGCAGAACATCATTTGAGCGGCATTACTACATGTGAAGCATCACTCAAGAGAGAGAACTGGTTTAAGGTTTAAGGCTCCACATTTTTACCCATTTATGTGTCTGTGCCAATGGTCTCCATTGCATACATGCATTGTTGATAACAGGAATAAAAAATATAATATTTAACAATCGCGTCTGAATAAGCATTATTGGATTCATTTAACAGTGTTTAATCAAACCATGACAACTTGAAAAATATTGTAGTTTAATCCATTATAATTAGTTAGGGAAAGATAATATTGCGCATAACCTGAAAATATCCGGTTTCATTCAATATACTTGGAAATATGCAAAATAAAATTTCGAAATAGCATCTGGAGATTTCAAATTAAATAAAATCAGAACATCAGACTTCTCCAATGAAAATATAAGAAATATCCATTTGCATAAAAATCCATCTCGTTATAAATGTACTACCTTCCAGGAAAGTCTGAGAGGCGATTTAGCAAGATTCTTCGCACCATCCATACTAGCTAATGTTAGATTAATTGGCCGTAATCATTTTTCTTTAATTTTCGGAAGGAAATTATGTTGGCGAGAACGGAAGGGGTGGGAAGCGTATTGTTTCATCGGTAGCCGAGCGGGCGAAGTCACAGTGCGGGATTCTTCCGAGGAGGCGCCGCAGTTGGAAATGGGAATTAAAGAAAACGCCACAAGGGTCGAGTTTGCGTCCAGTTCTCGTAGGCGGAAAACGCGTTAAATACATTCTCGAAGAAAGAGCCAGACGACACCTAACGCGACTGAGCGC